CGGCCCAGGAGGCCTGCAGGCTTCCTGGGGCCTGACTGGGCAGGCGAGATGCTAGGCACTCTCCCCCATGATCCTCCAAGCCCCTGAGGGTCCCTCCAGGCATGGGAACGCCTCCCCCTTCTCAGCTACTCCTCAGGGGTGCTTGCTTGTCCTGTCCAGCCTCCACTTCTTCTCTCCCCTCACTCCCCTCTCATCCTACCCAGTTGCTTGGGGGTTACTACCATCTCCTTGGGTGTTGTGGTCCCTCACCAGTGTCCAGCAGGTGCCCTAGGTGTGGGGAGATGGGACCTCCACATCCTCCCCTGCCACCATCTTGACTCCACCCCTGATGGGAGCACTTTTGGGTACACCAGAATCCCTGGAATTACTTGACCCAAGTAGCTGGTCTCCCCAGCATAAGAGCAACAATGTCCTGAGCCCACTGCCCATCTTGCTTGGGTCCTCCCTTCTCTCAACCTTCCTCACTCCCATGCTCACATCTACAGTCACACTTGTATGCTTAAGGCTCCTGCAGAATATATCAAGACCAGCATTCTTCTCACAGTCCCCTGGGGCATATTCACTCATCCAGTTAAAAACAGATATTGAAAAGATTCATAGTGATTAGTGGTTTTAGCTTTGGTTCAGTTCATATTTCAGATCAAGAATTATTTGAAGATCTAGTTCAGATGGTAGTTCAACTGAGAGGTGTGTGAACAAAGAATATTGCCTGCCACTTCAGTTAACAAAGGATGTTGTGACCATAAAGCCATCAGCCACAGAACCCACCCTTCTCCCCATCCCCACCACCCCACCTCGCCATAGTGTATCCTGAGGGGAATTAAGGAGAGAGAAAAAGAGGATTCTGGCCTTAGATAGTTAAGGTGCATATCAAAGGGATAATTTCGGTGAGCCCAGACTGTTGCATCTTCCCATACATAGAAAAGCAGTAAAATCATTAACTTGAGATGTCTGTTTTTTGTGATTAGCAGCAATCTTTTGATGTCCCACTATACAGTTTTATTTCAGCAAAATCTCCAATATATCTTGGCTCTTTCCTGTCGACTGAAAAAAATGCACAACGTGAGAGTTGTGAGTTAAGTTTTACTGGGCCCAAAATGAGGACTATAGCCCAGGAGACAGCATTTCAGATAGCTCTGAGAAGCTGCTCCCAAGAGGTGGGGGGAAGGTCAATATATATGTGATTTTGGTGAAGGGGAAGTATGTGCAATCAAGCACATATTTTTTACAGAAGCTTTCTGCTAGTCCCATGAAGGTCACTGCTAGTGACAAGGAGCAGACGTCACCATGAAGAATTTTAGTGCTTTTCTGGTTATGAGGAGATACAAGAATTGGGCTCATAAAATCATCTCTTGAAAATATCTAACTATCTGAAGACTTGCTCTGCCAGCTTTTCCAGAGCACAGAGCGCCTCATTCCTGATCTCCACACTAAACTCCTTTCAGGGGATGTTGAAGGTCAGCAGCTGCAGCAGCTCATAACTTGATCCTTGTAGAGGTAGATGGCAAGTGCCCATTTGTAGGTGACATCCCTTATCTCTTTGGAATAGTCCCTCAGAGAGATCTGAGAGGCTGTATCCCAGGCTTAAGTCCTCAGTAAGTCTGCCCAATAAAACATAATTCTCAGCTTTTAGGTTGTGCATTTTCTTTCAGTTGACAGGTGCTATATCCAGTCCACAAAAAAGAGAACCCGACACCCTCCTTCTGTCTTCCTGGGCCAGGAACTGAGTGGGGTGGGGAGAGAAGGGCAGGGTGGAAGGGCTTGGAACCTAGTGGAAACAGTCCCCTGACCTCCCCCTTCCATGGGGGGGGGAGTTGTTGCTGGGAAGAACTGACCTCCCCGGAGCCTATGTTGCCCATAGCCTTGTGTCCAGGTGGTGCCAAATAGCAGCTCAGCTCAATGGAATATGAGCAGAAGAGCTGCCTGTCACTTCCAGGTTGGGACAGTGGAGATGCAGGTGGGAACCTGGGGCTGGAGTAGAGTGGATTCCAAGGAGAGTCGGGGACCTTGGGGGTCTGAGGGCAGAGGGCTTCTATATCTTGACTGGAGGAGTGGTTACATGGGCACATTTGTCAAAACTCATTAGTTGGTACACGTACATTTTATTGTATGTAAATCATACAATATATGAATGAAGCTAATTCTAAAAAAAATAAAATAACCTGGGCAAAAGAGCTTTACCCACTGTAAAGAGCTGTGAAAATCAGTGATTCATGATTTGTCCAACTGTACAATGTGAGTATAGAATTCTGTGGACCTCCTCAGATACAGGGTTTATGCTGGAGCCCAGGCTGGGACTAAGGAAGAATTGGCAGCAAAGGGCTTTATCTGGGTGGGAAGTCCTAGACCCTGCCCAGAAGACAGGAATCCAGAGTTAAGTGTGGGCAGCCAAGGAAAGGAATGTAGACATTGAGCAGGAGTGGTGCTTTGCCCTGGTCCCTACTCTGGGTGAGGAGACAGGAGCCAACAGTGCAAACAGAAGTGCATAGAATAGTGTGAATTACTCTCAGTTACAGCAGCAGGACAGAGCATTTGCCCTGGGCATGTCCCTACTACTTCTCCATTTAAACTCCCTCCCTGTACTGTCTCTCTGCTGTCTTTCTACCTGCACCCTACAGCCTGAGAACCTCCCAGAATGGAAAACCAATCCTACTCCTACTTCTGTGCTTACCTCTGCCGTGGCCCTTTTTAGCCCTCGGTCTAAAGCCCAAGTCTTTCCAATGTGTGGAACCTCCTGGGATCTAGCCCTGCTCACCTTCCAGCTGCCTTCCCAGTCCTCAGCCCTGATTTCCATTCCTGTGTGACTCTTTGCAGTTCCCCAAAAGTACCACTTCTTCTCATCGATCCTGAGTGGGGGAACTTCCAGGAGGTTCTAAGAACAGGTCAGCTCTGGTGGTGCCCTTGGCTGCCTGGAGTCAACAGCCACGTGAAGATGTAAGCAAGCTGTGCTGTGGCCTGTGAAGTCATGGTGGCAGCAGCCATAGAGATCTGGGGAGGGGATGAAAAGGGAGAGGGAATCCTGAGACACGGAAGTAGCTATAACTTTGGTGAGGTCAGCATGGTCTGAGGGAAGTGGGCCAGGGCTGCACTCTTCACTCTTTCTGGTAGTCCACCCTCTCCCTAGAGGATGGGGAGAGCTGCTTTCAAACTGGAGTCATCTGCATAGACTAGTATTTACTCCTTGACAAGGGGAACTATGTTGGCAGCTCTTACAACCACAGGCATCAGGCATTATCACTATCTCTCTAGTAGTAGTGGGAAACTGAGGCACAGAGAGATGACATCTGTTGCCCAAAGTTCCAGGCCTGGAATTTGAAGCTATGCCTCTGGCTCTAGAGGCCATGCCCCTTACCACCAAGCCATACTGGCTCTGATCCTGGCACCTTGATCCTGCAAGGTGCATGTGGATAAACTACTTCCTCCCAGGCCATGTAATTGAGGCCTGGCCCCTGGGGCATGCTGCATGGTCCTCTAGACTCTCTGCATGTCAGCAAGCTGGATGCAGAACCATTAACTAAGAGCCCAAGAATCCCAGAGGATGGGAGAACCATGGAATAGAAGGAGTCTGGCCCCTTCCTCACTCTCAGAGGGGAGCTGCCCAGGACAGCTGCCCAGTCAGGAACATCTATATGGGTTTAAATAACTGAGAAATCAACTCTCCTTGTATTAAACCCCGATGTTTTTGTGTTTTTTTTACTAAGATCTATTTGTTACAGCAGCACACCTTAGCTTATTTTTAGTTGCAAAGGAGAAAAACAGTAACTTTATAGTGGAGAAACCTGGCAGATATGACCTTAACCAAGCAATCAAGATTAACATCACCAGTTGATACGACATATCAACATCATGTAACTCCTGATAAGATGCACTGGGGCTCTGTACCCATGTTCCATTTCATGCAAGGCTACAAGACACATCATTTCTGTGGGATTCTTGCCAAAAAGACATAGCCTCAATCTTATCCTAAGAAAACTTCAGACAAGCTCAAATTTCTGAAAAACTGGTCAGTAAAATAAATACTCCAGAACTGTCACAGAGTGTGGGAGACTGAGGAGACATAACAACTAAATGCAAAGAATTGGATCCTGGACCAGAGAAAGGACATTAGTGAAAACTGGCAAAAGTCAAATGAGGTCTATTAGTTAGCAGTATGGTTTCAATGCTAACTTCCTGGTTTTAGTAATTGCAGTGTGGTTATGTAAAATGTGAATGTAAGAGGAAGGTGGGTGAGGGGGTACTAGAACTCTCTGAACTATTTTTGAAACTCTTTGAGAAATCTAAAATTATTTCAAAATAAAAAACTAAAATAAATAAATGAAAATGAATGTGGTGATGAGCTACCATCAGATGGCCTTTCTGGTGGCTTTGGTCTTAATCGTCATCAGCAAGCCTGGACAATAAAGACCCACACTGGGTTACACCTTTAAAAGTTTTTATTACAGAAAACCCCATTCTTCCAGGTCCAGCTCAAGGCCCCCCTTATTTACTAAAACTGGGCTTCTGTGCATATTGGATTGAATGGTTTTCTTGCTCCCTGGGTATCTGCTGTGGAGTTGAGGACTCTGCCTTTGATTGTAGTTCTCTGAGAGGAGGGGCTGGGCCTCTGTAGCCATGTTCCATTCTGCACAAGGCTTAGAGACACCTAGTCAGCAGGGCACTGACAGCATTATGCCCCTGCCTGGGAGGTTAGGCAGGGGAATCTGACAACTTTCAGCAACCCCTGTGCACCCACTTTGGGTCTGGTGGTGATAGTGTCCTAGACAATGTCACTGTGGGCCCGAGACTACAGCCAGTTCAATTGCTGAAGAGCCAAATATCAGTGCTGGGGTCAACACAGGGCATTATGGCTGCCCCCCCCCCCCGAGTGTGAGGATGGGGACAGCGGCATGTTGATCCCCAGAAGTGCAGGGCTGTAAGCAAAAGATGCCAGCAAGGTGGAAGGGTCTGCTTCTCAGAAGCAAATTAGACAGGGATCAGGGAGGTCCTGAGAGCCCACACACAAAGGTGCAAAGATTTCAAAGGCAAGTAACTGGGAAGTGGTGCTGGACAGTGGCTTGAAGGAAGCCCAGCCCAGAACATATCAGGACAGATTTGGTCATTGAATGAATCAATGCTTTAATAATAAGGAATAATGTGGCTATCACAGGGCATTACCTGGAAGGCTGTGACTGCTACTGCTACTCACTGAGCAGTTAAACAGGGGACGGGAGGGTTTGAGGGTGCAGATCTCAGAGCAGCAACCTCAGCAGGAGAAGGCTGGCAAGGGTCAAGGGTGTGCAGAAGCCTTTAGAGCCAGTGTCACTGGTGGTGCTCAGGGGAGTGGGACTGGGTGTTGAGGAGGCATTGGAGCTGTCTCCACACTCAAACTTTAGGAAAGTGACTCCTCCAACCATCCGATTTCCAGTAGCCAGGAACTCACAGGTGGAGGTGCTGACATTGGAGCAGCCTTTCAGCACGAGCTTCATCTCTGTGAATTCAAAAGAGACAGTAAGGACTTCACAGCCCCTTTGCCCTTCCTCCCCAGTCTTCTCAATGACCGGCAAGAGCTGAAACAGGTCTGTTCCTGACACAGGAGCTTGGAAGAAGCAGCCCAGGATCAAGAACACCAAATGGTAATGGCAGAGTGGCTGTGGAGGTGAGGGCCTAGATACCCTTTCCAAATCAGTCCTGGAGGAAACCGAGGCTCCTGGAGGTGGATGCGAACCTGAGCTCACGGGTTAGGGCCAGAGCTGAACCTAAGACTGAACTCTTCAGTGTTTTCCTGAGTAGCTGGCAGGTGGTGAAATCCAGGGACAGGCTCAGACCCTCCGTAGTCCTCTGCTCTCAATCCAGGAGGGAGTCAGCATTTCAGACCTGCTCCTGGCCTCCCCTCTTCTAAGCTCTGCTTTCCATCCCCACTCCTCTCTGGACCTGAGTTCTCTCTGCCTGAGTTTTCCCTGAGAAGAGGGAAAAACAGCCAGAGGGGATGCAGAGAGACCTCTGTGTCTTAACTCTAAATCTGTGTTGTGATGTGTTTAACCCCGTTTTAAGGTGCAGGTCCTAGGAAAAGACAAGGGAATTTGCAAAGATGTGATTGTGATTGCAGCTACCTTTTACTGAGTACTTACTATGTGCCAGTATTGCTCTGTAGGCTGCAAGTCAAACAGCCCTGGAGGAGAGGCAGCTCACAGGGGAGGAAGGGGCTGGAGGAGGTGACTGGCTACTTGTTAGAGGCAGGGCTGCAATTTGAGTTCAAGACTGACTCCATACGTGGTCTGAGAAGGAGGGGGAAGCCTCCACATCCCAGTAAAGAAAGCAATTCGTTGCTGCTTTAGAGCAAATATCAGTGCTGGAGGTTGAATTAGAGTGTGTTAGGAAGATGTGTTGCCTGGCACATGGCTACAGTATTTTTTTTTTAGCATCTTTATTGGAGTATAACTGCTTTGCAACAGTGTGTTAGTTTCTGTTTATAACGAAGTGAATCAGCTATACATATACATATATCCCTATATCCCTTCCCTCTTGTGTTTCCCTCCCACCCTCCCAATCCCACCCCTCTAGGTGGACAAAAAGCACCAAGCAGATCTCCCTGTGTCATACAGCTTGGGCAAAAACAAAAACAAAATCCTACATTTATGATGGCTTTGATCTGTCTGGCTTTCAGATTAAGTCAAAGGTGGCGCAGTGGTTGAGAGTCCGCCTGCCGATGCAGGGGACACGGGTTCGTGCTCCGGTCCGGGAAGATCCCACATGCCGTGGAGCGGCTGGGCCCGTGGGCCGTGGCCGCTGGCCTTGCGCGTCCAGAGCTTGTGCTCCGCAACGGGAGAGGCCACAACAGTGAGAGGCCCACGTACCGAAAAAAAAAAAAAAAAAAATAGCCTTTTTTATTTATTGGTTTTGTATTGTATGATGGTTAATTTGTATCTCATAATGGTTAATATGAAATTACTTTTGTAGAAAAGAACAGTTGGTTGGTTTTTTTTTGAGAGAAATCATCAGTATTGTTTATTTTCAAGTTTACAACGACTTTTTTTAAAGTATGAAATGCTGTATTGGTTGTACACCACCACCACAGGGGAATAGATCATGACTAAAATGTTAAATAGATTTTTTTTTTATTTTGTTGTTGTTGTTGTTCTTTTTTCAATTAGTTGGATATTAAAGCCCCGTTTGACTCTTCCTTCCAGGTGACCCAAGCTGTCATAATCCAATACCTCTCAGTGACATGCAGAGAAGGGAAGTGTACATATAAAAGGAAATAAAAGTCAGACCCACCCATACCTACAGGACAGCTCACCCTAGTAAAGAAATAAATGCCAGGAGTGACATGATGCCCTTAAATGAGCCTGGCTTGATTACAAGCCATAAGAGAACAGGGTTCAAGAGACCGACAGCCCAGGAGGAATGAACTCTGGACTGAGGTGGCAGAAATAGCAACCAGCTCAAAGCTACATTAACAGCCTCACTATCTCAAAGGCATCCTGATGTTATTCCCTCTTCTTACTAACCTCCTCCAGGCCTTTTTTGTTAATCCAGAATTTATGATCCAAGGCATGACATGTTTTAAACTCAAGTCCCATAAAAAGGAAATGGCATACCATTCTTAAATTCTGCGATTAGATTGACACATCTTTCTCCTTTATAACATTTCCGGGTTGTCTCAGTACAGGAAGTTTCACTAGATCCATAACATGCAAGGCACTCTGTGTCGCTGGACACCTCTTCCTGTGGGGGATCTGGGTAGAGTAAGGGTCATTAACTCAGAACAGTGTTATCACAAATATCACGGTACTGCCTTGGGTGGAAGGGGAAAGGCGGACAAAGACACTAGCCAGAGAGACCTCTCAGGGTCTCTCTGCATGCTCAGGAATCTCAGATCCTGCCATAAAAATACCAGTCATCCCATCCCATGTCCCACCAAAATATTTACAGCACACAACCTCACAGACCTGCCCTTACAGGCCATCCAGTCTTCAAGAACCGTGGTCAGTGAGGGTGTTGGGATGAGGAGGGAAAGGTAAGATTTTGAGCTAAAACCAACCTATAGCTAATGTCAACGGTAGCCAGCTATTCTAAACATTAGCCAACAGGTGTGTGACTATTACTAAATCTAGCTCTGAACAAATGAACACAGGCCATGATTTAACAACGTGACTTGGATAAAAAAAAAAAAATTACACTGAGACACAGCTCTGCTATTAATGAACCATGCTCTATGACCATGGCCACATTTTCTCCTCTTCAAAAAGAAGGCTTTTTTCCCTGGTGGCGCAGTGGTTGAGCGTCCGCCTGCCGATGCAGGGGACGCGGGTTCGTGCCCCGGTCCGGGAAGATCCCACATGCCGCGGAGCGGCTGGGCCCGTGAGCCATGGCCGCTGAGCCTGCGCGTCCGGAGCCTGTGCTCCGCAACGGGAGAGGCCACAACAGTGAGAGGCCCGCGTACCGCAAAAAAAAAAGAAGGCTTTGATCTAAGCCAACAGTTCTCAGATGGTGGTCCAGGGACTCCTGGGGATCCCTGAGACCCTTTCAGGGAGTCCACTAGGTCAAAATCATTTTCATGATAATACTAAGATGTTCTTTGCTTCTTTTACTCTCTTTCTCTCATGAAAATACAGCGGAGTTTTCCAGAGGCTACATGACATGTGAGATTGCAACAGACTAAGAGAACAAGCAAATCTGAGAACCCAGCTGTATTCTATTAAACCAGAAATTAAGGAGCTTTGAGAAAACATGGAGCAATGCTATTCTTCCCACTAAATATTTTTTGTTTTGGAAAATAGTTATTTCTATGTAAAAACAAGTGTTATTAATGGTAACATGTAATGAGTTTTATTATTTTTTAGTGAACTAATAAATATTTTTAAAATTTCTTAGCCTTATTTTTAATACAGTTAATATTGATAGATATAGTCCACAGAAACAAATGTTATTTGGAGTCCTCAATAATTTTTAAGACTTAGAGTCTTGAAAGAGGTCCTGAGGCCACACAATTTGAAAGCTACTAATGAGCATCTAGTACCCTCCCCCACATCTCGGAGCGCTGTGATTTCTGTCTTTACTGAGAAAGGGGAAAGCATGGTAGTAGCGCTGGTTTTCCTCATTTGTTTCTCAAGTAGTTGTTGTATGTCAGCAGTTAATGTTACCCAAATATTCACTGAAGGGCCTAGACTTAAGATGTCCACCCAAGAGTGAGAACCATAGGTAGTGCAGGAAGGGACGGAGCAGGGAGGACAGAGGAAGGATGTGGCCAGCACCCACCTATGGTGTCATTGGTGTCATTGCACGCCTTTCCTTGGCAACACTGGCTTGCAAAATGGAAGGTTTCATTAGCAGATACGTGGACTGTGAAGGTCTCAGCCACGCTGCAATTATCCGCAGAGCAGGCCTTATCCTCATACAATGTGATGTTTTCTCCTACACAAAGGCAAACACAGACTGTCAGTCCTGGGTACAGAGTGTTCAGGGAGGGCAAAGGTCCTGAAGAGCAACTGCTTTAGGCAAGGGCAGAAAACACACCCTCAGCTCAATGCAGTTTGGGGGACACTGGAGAGGGTTTCCTGCAAAAAGAAAAATCCTTCTCCGTGAGGTAGTTCCTTTGTTTAGCAAGAGATTATCAGAGAAGCAGCTTAAATTCCAGGTGAAAGGCTGATGGGGAGCTTAGAAGTGGGTGGTTCAGGTTGACACACCCAGAGCCCACTGAACAGTCTTAGCATCTAAATATAGACAAGTAGATGTGATGGGTCTATGTGCAACACGATGTTGAACCTGAAGTTAATCAAGCTTCTAGACCAGAGCTATCCAATATGGTAGCCCTAGCTCTATGTGGCCACCTACAAATCAGTCCTCAGTCACACTAACCATATTTCAAGTGACCAATAGCTACATGTGGCTACCACATAGGACAGCATTGACATAGACATTAACGTCACTGAAGAAAGCTGTACTGAACAGCATGAGTGCAGTTTACAGGAAAGACCAGGAGTAGGGGAACAAGTGAAATGACATTACAAAGAAGCAATCAAACAAAGCCAGAATATAAGACAGCTACAGGATAAATGGCCCCATTTCTCCAACAAATCAATGGGATTGAGCAAAGAAAGTGATACTAGTTATTATTAAACAAATTAGACACAATAGACCTAACAGCAAAATGCAATGTGAGGATTTTGTTTGGATCCAAATTCCAATGCATCTACTAGAATACATCTTTGAAACACTTGGAACATTTTTAAGGTGGCCTGGGTATTACAAGAAATTTTTAAATTATAGCTAATTTTCTTAGGTGTGATAATTGTATTGTAGTTATATAAAAAGGGGGAAAAAGTTCTTATCAGAGATGAATTAGTGAAGTGTTTATAGGGGAAATAACATGCTATCTAGGGTTGCTTTAAAATATTATGGGGAGAGGGTAAATTAGGAGTTTGGGATTAAAATATACACATTACTGTATATAAAATAAATAACCAACAAGAACCTACTGTATAGCACAGGGAACATACTCAATATCTTGTAATAACCTATAATGGAAAAGAATCCATCTTCCTAAAATGGAAAAGAATTCATATATATGTGTGTCTGTGTGTGAATCACTTTCCTGTACACCTGAAACTAACACAACATTGTAAATCAACTATATTTCAATAAAAATTTAAAAAATAAAATGCTATGGGGAAAAAATAGCAAAATGTTAACTGTTGACACAGGATGGTGGTTACATGGGAGTTCATTATAGTCTTCTACCTGCTTCTGTGTGTGTTTGAAATGTCCATAATAAAAAGTTTAAAATAAGTCAAAATGCTCTGAGAGAGAGGTAACAATCACGCCAGCAGGACACCCTAGAAGGAAGTCTGAGTGAAAATATGTTGGATCTGGAACAGGAAGGAACACTGAGAAGAGGGAAAGGGGGGCAGAAAATGGAAAAATGAAAACACCTAGAGCAAACTGCCTGCTTTGTAATTTAGCTAAGAGCTGCCCCTGCTTCTCACGTTCACTAATACAGGTCTAGCATGAAGTCTGAGTCAGGTGCCGCAATTCCAAGGAGCCACAGGGCTTGTCTGCTTGCTTGGCTCTACCACTGTTACTGACTCCTGCATGCTGCTCCTCCTGAGAGGCGCCTTCGTGACCCCCTCTCTCCTTGCACAGCCCAGCCTTAGCCTTGCTTTCCTGGCCAACCCCTCCAGCACCTGCCCTGTGCAAGTTCCAGACATGGGAATGATGAGCATTCCCCAGGCTCACCTAGAGAAAAGTTCGTCAAGAAAGTGGTACAGCTGATACTGGCATTTGCGGGACACTCAGTGGCATTTCTGTCAACACAGCGGTCTGTCAACGAATTACACTGCACACAACTCAAGGATTCTGGGAAGACAAGATGTTCAGCATTGTCAACATTCAGGAGACATTTATAGAGTGTGCTCTGGCCAAAGCACTGCACTCACCTCAGGGTAAAAGAATAGCCAAGATGGCATCCCTTCCCTCTGGGGTCCCCCAAACTTTAAGCTGTGAGGTGGAGCCACCCCCATTAAGTTTATCCCCACTGTCCACCATTCCCCAGTGGGAAGACCCAACCTTGACCCACAGCACTGAGTGGTACCACAGAGGGCAGTGTGCACAGAGAGGTCTCATAGCCTCCACTGCCCACACCTTGACATGAGAGGTCACATGAGGGGATCCCAGGGCACCAAGAGTGAGAAGACCATGGTGAGGTGGAAAAAGGGGTCTTCATTCCAAAAGGGGGCCATGTGGTTTCCCTCACCTACAGCTGCAACCGTGAGCATGACGATGATACCAGCAAAGAGGAAGCCCTTCATGGTGCTGGACATATGTCGTTGAGGATGAGGACTGTGGCCGCGGAGCCTTAAGCCAGAAGAGACACAAAGAGGGCAGTCTGGGGAATCAGAAGGCTGCTGGGGAGTGATATTCCCTAGGATTGCAATCAAACTTCAACAGACCCAGCCCATCCTTGTGACAGACGGAATCAGCAGTCTCAGCTGGGAGCACCGAGCCAAGATGTAGATTCCACCCTGCCCTTATACCCACAAAAGTCGGGTTTTCCCAATCTTAGATGCCTGCAAAGGCATCCACACACAAGTACAAAACACAGCCCAGGGCATTTCCTACAGAGCCACTATGGGTACAAAATGGGCAGAAAGATGACTGCCAACCCCACTGAGGATGGGAGACCAAGAAGAACGCTGGGCTCTCATGTCCCAGGGCTTAATGTCCATCCTGTAGGTGGTATCTTGCCACATTCACATAATGCACATAGGAGCTCTGTCTCTGCCATCGCCACTCCAACAAGCAGGCACATATTGAGCACTTACTCTTGTTCCAAGCACTTATGTGCATTGATTCATGTAATTCCTCCACCCAGCAGGCAGGTACTATTTTTAGCATCACCTTATTTCAAAGGGGAAATCAAGGCCCAGAGAGGTTAAGTAAAGCACTCAAAGTCAAGGTTGCACTCCTGGGAGGGGTTAGAGCTGGATTTGGCCCAGCCCTCTAACCACACTGACTCTAACACACATGACCCCCAAAGCCCCGGACCTGGACACGCTCAACCTACAGAGCTCAATCAGAAGCCCCAGCACACTTCTGACTGGCCTGTCATCAATCTCTCTGCACATGAAAGTCATCTAATAGCTAAGGTTTAGCTGTATTTATTAAGATCCTGGGAGTTTGGGGTTAGCAGGTGTACACTCTTATATATAGGATGGATAGACAACAAGGTCCTACTGTACAGCACAGGGAACTATATTCAATATCCTGTGATAAACCATAATGGAGAAGAATATTTTTTAACATCTTTACTGGAGTACAATTGCTTTACAATGGTGTGTTATTTTCTGCTGTATAACAAAGTGAATCAGCTATACATATCCATACATCCCCATATCTCCTCCCTCTTGCGTCTCCCTCCCTCCCACCCTCCCTATCCCACCCCTCCAGGTGGTCACAAACCACTGAGCTGATCTCCCTGTGCTATGCGGCTGCTTCCCACTAGCTATCTATTTTACATTTGGTTGTATGTATAAGTCCATGCCAGCTGGGACAAAGTGAAAAGAATTTTTTTTTAAAAAACAAATGTCTATATGTGTATAACTGAGTCACTTTGCTGTACAGCAGAGATGGGCACAACACTGTAAATCAACTATATTTCAACTAAAAAAAATAAGATCTTGAATCAGAGCTCCTAGAATTTTAATTTGCCCGTGTATCAAACAGCATGGAAGGGAAATGTCTGGCTCTGCCCTGAGCCCTTATTCATCGTTAGCTCATTTATCCTATGAATAGTAACCAGGAGCTACATGTGGCTGCTTACCTTTGGATTCATTGAAGGAATAAAAAGGAAAGATACTGTTTCTCAGTCACCAGCCATGTTCTAGTGCTCAGTGGCCACATGTAGCTGGTGGCTGCTGTATTGGTCAGTGCAAGTATGGAACAAGTCCCAGGGCACAGTGCTGCTGTAAAGATTTTTGCCCACTCCACAGCTGAGAAAACTGCAGACGGAGGGATAATGGAAGCTGCCCAAGCTCACCCAGCTTGTAAGACGAAAAGTGGGACTCCATTCAGGGTCCTTCCAGGTCCAAAGCCGAGTTGTACCATAATAGCTGCCACTTACTAAGGAGCAACTGACTTTCATTAGGGCGTTGCAGGCCACCGCCTGCATCTCACCTCACCACACCACATACGCATGCTCCCCCACATACACACCACACCACACACACACATACATACACTCCACACCCATACATACACACACCACACACACACACACACAAACAAACACTATGATCCCCTAGTTAACTGATTAAGAGTCGGTGAAAAGAAAGAGAAATTAGCCCCAATGGAGGGAGACAGACAGCCCATCAATTATCTAATGGCCCCAATATTTAGAGATCCTAGGAGAAAAATTAAGTATGTTTGGTTTGAAGCTTGTGGCAGATGTTCTGTGCATTGCACCCTGCATCCCCCAGTGCCCAGTCACCACTCCAGGCCCAGAACCCCAGTAGAGAGAGAGGTTCAGGGGTTGGGCCTCCTGGGAAGGGCCTCTCAAGCCTTGTAGGTGTAAAGGAAGAGGAGATGGGAGGGCAAGAAAGGAGGGTAAAGAGTCCACAGCAGCCACATCAATTAAGTGCACAAACCACCTCAGCCCTGTGGTATAGACCTGATGGTTAGCCTCATTTTCAGAGGGAAATAATGGAAGCCCAGAGAGGTCAGGACCCTACCTGGGGACATGTAGCAGAAGAGGCAGATCTTGGAGGTGGTGGGACCCAGGGCCCTGTGCACCACCTCTGCAGAAGAGAGGAGCCAGTGAGCTGGGGGTCAGGGCAGGGGCCCCATAGGGGAAATGAGACCAAGTACATCTGTACACCCCTTTGCAAAGTCCTTCCTATTCATCCTATTGTTGGACATTTTCAGCTGTCTGAGAGGGTCTTACCTCAATTGTTCTCATCTTACACAGAGGAGCAAGAGCTCACAGAAGCTGTGAGAAGGACACAGCACCACACACACACACACACACACACACACAGAGCAAACCCCAGCACCTCTCCACTCCAGCCTTCCCCTTCCCGGGCACTGCTGGAGGATCAAGAGAATGCCAGGAGAATGCCCTGGACCCCAGCCAGCGCTGAATGCCCTTCCCCTGCTTTCAGCTTCTCCCAGGCTGGGTCCTGTCTCACAGCCCAGCCCCAGTCCCTTACCTTCTCTGTCTGGCCCAGAGATTGCCCCGAAGAAGGTGGATCCTGGCAGAAGGTTGGAGAACGTGTGTGAGGGCCCTTATATAGCAGGTGGTTGCACAGTCAGAAAGCACAGCTGCCTACAGGGAGGGGCTTCTGGGCCTGACTGGGCCCTGCCCAACCCTAGGGACATAGGTGGCTTAATCCTAGGCAGCTATGATGTTGGTCAACTCTCTGAAGCCTCCAGGAATTGGGAGAAACTTTGGTCAAGACCTGCCTTTGGCAAAATGTGCAAGAGAGAAAGGTGTGTCCCTGGCACTGTCTCATGTTGGCTGTCACCCACCAGATGGATTCTATGACCGGTTAATGTGTTACAAGCATCCCCTTATCCCAACCTGGTAAAGCTGTCACCTTGATTAGCCCATTTACAGCTAAGGAAACCAAGGCACGTAAGAGAAACATAACAGATTTGCCCAAGGTTACACAGCTGGGACCGGGTCAGAACTCAGAATCAGGTTACATGGGGTTTGTGTGGCTCGGGAAAGGGTCTCAGGTACCCTTGGGAAAGTGTTTGAACTTCACTAAGTCTCAGGGTCCTACAGACAAGACGAGGATAAACTCACTGGGTAACCTTACAGGGTAGAGGGACCACAAAGTCCCTGCCTGCAGGATGCCCTATGCACCTCAGTGAGGGGCCTACAGCTACAGCTGCTGCAGCTTCCAACACCCCAGGCAGTTTGTCTGGCAGTGCTGTCTGTGCAGCCATTGTTGGTGAGAGCTCAGGTCAGCCCAGGATTCTCCCAGCCCTGCCCTCACATTGCACTCTGTGTGCTCCTGGCTTTGAATGTGGATTTGAGTTCCCTTCTCTCCTGCTGTTCCTGCCACTTCAGATATTCACACTCACTCACACACACGCAGGCACATGCACACACTCATACACACTCTCACACACACATCACACGCACGGGATGGGTGGGGAACTGAGGATTCAGGGGTTGGGGGTACGCATCACACCAACACCTCCAGCCTACAGTTAAACCTTAGCGATCCCTGCTCTTGAAAATACTCCTTGTTCATTGCTGCTAACTCTGTGCTGGTCTGTGGCTCAGCTCTCCCTCTTTCCCCAAACTCATGCATTTATTCAATATTTTTGGAGGACCCACCATGCATCAGGCCCACTCCAGGCATTTGGGAGGTATTTGAGCAAAGAGACAAAGACTTTGCCTTCCTGGAGTGTAGTCTAGAGGGGGAGACATGACATAAACAAAGTGATAAATAAGCAAATTACAGGGTAGATTAGAATGTGGTGACTGCTCTGGCAAGGAGACAGAGAAGAGCAAAGGTGAGGGATCAACCATACTGGGGGAAAAGGGGGCACATGATTCAATTTTAAATAGAGAGGTCTGCATTGGTCTCATGGAGAAGGCAAAATTTGGGTCATTTCTATAAGCAGGGCCTCTGGCCATCTCTTGTTTTCTCCTTTCTTCCTCTTCTGTCATCAGTCTGACTACAACAGCAATTTCCAAAACAAAGGTAGCTCTCTCCCTAACAGAATCCTATTCAATCTTCACCATAGCCAGCTGGCAGGGCCCAGTGGGGGAAGTGAGAGCAGGAGCAGCCAATGGGATATGGGTGGGGGAGGGTCTGAGGATAGAGGAGTTGAAGAGCCCACATATGCTGCCTTTGAGATAACAGCCCTGGGTGTGTGTGGAGGGGGGTGGGGTGGGGGGGCGTTGTGCTCCAGTGTCTAGCCAAGGACAGACAGGAAAATCAATCTGATCAATGTTAATTCTTTTCGGAAGGTCTGGGTCTGAATACAGACTTTGCTCCTCGTGTCCCGTAAGTTACTTACTAACCTGGCTTGCTGGTCCTGAGCTTCCCGTCTCTAGAAAGAGAACAACAGGCTGAAGAAGCACCTGCTGATTATTTCATCCTGGAATCCTTACCCTGTTCCATTGTGTTTTTTCCAGTGTCATCTAACAGTAATGCCATGGGGGCATTTGATCTTGTGTGATGCAATGGCAATCCCTGAGCTGGGCTGTGCATGACCACTCACAGCAGGCCTGGGTCTGCCCCTCCCAAGGCCCTGGGCAAGATGAGTATCATTATTCCTTTGACAGATGAGGAGACTGAGCCACAGAGAGGCCTCTCTTCCAGGTCTTCAGATACCAGGGC